AATGAAATATCTGCCGCAAGGAATTATTGTTGATCATAAGTTATTCATGATTGAAGATTTTTTACTACAAATCGCACGAATGTTTTACTTGACATTTTTCAAACAAATCAATTCTCGAATCTTCACAATATTGATTGTGACTTTCGTTTGTTTTATTCATTCGAATTTATTTGATCAAAATATTTTTAGGCCTGATACATGCGTTTCAGCAATGGACTTTACAAAGCCGGAAAATAATCAAACTTGTGAAGACAAATTAGAGGAAGAATATCAAATTGAATTCTATAATTATTATCAATCTATGATCATTATGTTGATGGGTTATGCACTATGTGCTATAAGCAGTTTAACATTTACATCATTGATAAAAGTATTCAAAAATGAACATCGAAACGGTAAGTGTTGATCCAATTCAAATTTCCAAAATGTAAGTGAACATACTTGAAATAATTATCAGGTTGGCACAGCGTTGGTGTTTCTTATTGGTCGGTCGTAATTGTTCGATTAATTGATTTCACGATTCTTGCTTTACATACGACAACATTGATATACTTTTTGATTGACCATACTTTTATTGATGATGGTTATTTCAATTGGTATCGATTTGTTAATTTTTTCCTTTTCATGTGGATGTTTTTCTTCTATATACAATCTGTTGGTCAATTATTTAGCATTTTATTTTCAAATTATCCTCAAGTTGCCGTTGCGATTGCATCAATTGCATACGCACCATTAGATTTTAATAATGGCTATTTTTTCCCATATAACTTTGTCGTCAATCCTGTAAGTAAAATGATTAGTGATATCCTTAGTACTAAAATTATAAAAAATGGGCTTATAAATGCATTCTATGGCATTGATCGATGTGAACCAAATCAAATATCTTCAGTGTTGATCAATAACGAAATCAACCAGGAAACTGTCTATACCGATCTATATCGAATTTTAATCAATTCAATCGCTTTACGAATATTGACATTGTTCTTATTGATGACAGATTTCAAAAGCTTGAAATTTTCATCGAAAAAATTATCTCAAAAATCAAATGCCACTGATTTTGCCCGAATTGACTATGATAACTTAAAAACTAAATCAATCCAAACTTTAATTCAGTCAAATGAACGAATAAAATTGGAAGATGAAACAGAATTTGAAAAATTCTCCAAAAATAAAATCATCATTGCTTGGCGATCATTGAGTTTATTCAATTCTGGTTCATATTTAGAGCTTCGATCTGCTTTGAAACTTGAAGAACCGAAGTACATATTGCGTAATCTGAATGGTCAATTTCGTTTTGGAACATTGAATGCTCTGATGGGAACGTCGGGAGCTGGAAAAACCTCTTTACTCAAAGTGTTGAACGGCAGGGACAAAACNACATCACTGTCAAGATAGTTTGGGTGTAATTGCTTGTATCTTTTTTGTTACAATGTTTGTATCACAACGAAAATTATTCAAAATCGAACATCGAAATGGTAATTTTAGTGTTGATTTAACATGATCCATTTATATAGTATTTATTTTTGTCATTTCATTAGGTTGGTACAGTTCTGGTGCATTTTATCTATCGAAAGCAGTATGTGAGATGTTCATTGCCTTGCCCGTTATTGTATTGTATCCGATTGTTGTCGACATTTATTATCCAATTAGAAGTTACGTATGGTATTATATGATAATGATCATCATACTGCCAATGATTGCATTTCAAGGTGCCAGCTATACGCTTTCTATTTTGTTTGGAAGCAATCCATTAAAACTTTACATTTCAATTCCAGCTGTATTGTTGTTATCAATTAGCAGCATATTGACTCCAAATATATCGCATTATGCATTCAAATTGATTACGACTTTCAATCTTTTCCGGTATCAAATACAAGCTATATATTTTTTAGTATATGGTTTCGGTCGATGTGGTCATAGAGAAATTCAAGTGCTGTTGTATAGATTCGGTTTGAATCATGATGAAGAATACTATCATAGTATCATAATGACAGCCATCAATGCTATACTATATCAAACAATTGCATTATCATTGCTTTATTTTTACCATAATCCATTTCAAAATCGACGTAAACGTATTGAACGTATTGAATATCGAAATCAACAAAAATTACCATCAAATGAGATGATACCTGGCCTAAGTTGTTCGAATGATTTTATCATTAGACAAATTCAAGTTTAATTTTAATTCATTCATTATTATTATTTTCATTTCTTTCCTCCCAACAAAAACATCAACAACAATGTTTGAATATTTAATCAATAATTTATCTTTCTATATTGTTCGGTTGAAATCTAATTATTAAGAAAATTAATAAATTGTTATTACAATACGGATTTTCAACAGAAAAAAAAACGACAACAAAAAAAAAATTGGTTGATTAGTTGATTAATCGGAATTTCAACAGGTTCTTTAACAGATTTTAATAATAATTTATAATAATAATAATTTCCAACAACCGGAACGTTTCATACCTGATCGTTTTATCGAAGGTTCTAAACATTATTGTGGCTGTATGAATCCATTTGCATTTGTACCATTTTCAGTCGGACCACGCAATTGTATGGGACAAAAATTTGCTTTACAAGAACAGAAAATCATATTGGCCACTTTGTTATCCAAATATCGTATAGAATCCGCTGAAAACATTTATGGTGTTGCAATAGAACCTTCAATAGTTTTACGGCCAAAATCATCTGTCAACATTCGTTTCATACCCCGTGCATGAATGAATGATTATTTAAATTAAATATTGTACGCAATGCAATGGACCGGAAAAAAATGTTATTATAAATTTTTATTTATGTTTTCAAAATTAAAAATCAATTATATTTAAAAAAATGTTTGTTCATTATAAAACCAATGAAGAGATTTTCTAGCAAAATTTGTATCCTTATTTTTAATACTATCATTAATTTGAGTTAATATTCTTTCGAATGTTATCTCACGAATAAGTGCATCAAATTCAATCATTTCATATTTTGTTATTAATGGTTGATATAANACATGCCATTATACGTTTGTTGCCGATGATAAATTCAAAATCATAATTTTCCGGATTATTAAAGAGTTGGGTGATTGATCTGTTCAATGTTGAACTTTTTGATTCGAAAACATCAATTGTTGATGCTAAACCATATGTCATTGGGTATTTGAATATCATTGCTGATGCATCAGCAAATGATTTCAATTGACCATTTAATTTTTGAGGTTGTGACCATAAGCATTTATCATTTTTACCCCATACATAATACTGTGATGAATCAACCAAAGTCAATGAAAATTTGAGATTATTTTTACAAGCAACGTTTTGCACATTTTCAAGAGGTATTTTTGTCGGTACAGTTACATTGATACCAAGTTGAAGATGCCCACATCCGAAAATCTGGCCATCCTCGAGTAAAAATAAAGAATGAAATGCACCGGCCAAGATACTTTTGATCGGATTGGTAATCAAATCATTCTGAAATGAAACGAGTGATGGTGTCCTTCGGTTTTTATCACCAAGACCTAATTGTCCACTCGAATTACGGCCCCAGGAATAAAGTTTATTCGAATTCGTTAAAACAATACAATGTTGCCATCCAGAAGTAATTAATTTAATATTTTCTAAACCAATGTCAACCATAGTTTCATATGATGATGCTAAATTTCCGGTTATCTGACCACATTTATTATCACCTATGGCAAAAAGATGACCATCTTGGCGTAACATCAACAAATGTTCGCTTCCACATGCTATCATTTTATAACAATCATCACCAGTGGAGATTAATCGAAGGCTATTGTTCGTTTTCCAATTAGAATTTCCACTGGCCAGATAAACTTTCTCATCACAAGTTAAAATAGCAACAAAAAAATTGCCCGAAACCACTTGAATAATTTTTTTATTATTCAAAATGTTGATCCGTTTTGGTTGTGTCGGATCATGTTTTAATGATAACCATGTGCATATGTCATCGCCAAAAGCATATGTTGCATCATTGGTCATACAAAGATAACCATGATACTGATCACAAAAAATCGATACAATTTTTCGGATAAATTCACGATCGATAAGATGAAAATCATCTTGAAATAATTCAATATCAACACAGGTATCAGGCGAATTTGCCATTGTTTTTTATTTTCTTTCAAAAATTCGAAAAGTATCAGTTCATGTGTCCTTGTTCATTATTAAGATTTCTATTTTTCATTAACACACATATTTCATTATTTTTTTTTTGTTGTTATCAATTTTAAATGGAAAAAAAAATTTTGTTCTCGAAAAATTTTTGCTTTTTCAATAGAACAAAAAAAAATTGTTTTGAATATTAAACAAAATGTAAAATTTTATTAAATTACATTTCACATTTAAAACAAAATTATTTATAATTCAATTCAAAAAAAAAAAATGGTTGATTAATTAAAAGTTCAAAAGAATGTTTGTTCATTATAGAACCAATTAAGAAAATGATTTAAAGTATTTTCATCGGCCATCTGTAAATTGTCACAAAATTTTGACAATGTCGGTTGTTCGACATACTGACAAAGATCATCATCGAATCCATTCAATTTATAATTGATTATCAATGGAATAAGTGAATGGATCGATTGTTGGGTAAAATTTTTACCAATAAATGTATGACAATATTCCATCAATCGTTCATCATCATAGAAATTTGCTAAATCGATCAATTCGGCAATATTGTTTATATTGATTCGAATGTAGCCATCATGTAACATTCGAATATAAGAATAGTATGTATCATAGGAATAATATTCAATGGTTACACTATCTTTTTGTCGCCAATTACGAAAAAACATACGAAAAAAATATGCAGATGCCGATTGTAGAAATGATTTACATGTTTGGATACGTTTATCACCGATAATAAATTCAAAATCATAATTTTTTGGATTATTAAAGAGTTGGATGATTGATCTGCACAATATTGAACCTTTTGATTCAAACACACCAATTGTTGATGTTAAACCATATGTCATTGGCAATTCTCTTAACATAGATGCAGCAGCAGCAAATGATTTAAATTGACCATTCAATTTTTGAGGTGGAAACCATGATTTTTTCTGATGTTCACCCCATACATAATACTGTGATGATTGAACCAGAATCATTGAAAAATTAAGATAATTTGCACAAGCCACGTTTTGCACATTTTCAAATGGTAATTTTGTCGGCACAATTACATTTATATCATTAGCCGATTGAAGATAACCACATCCAAAAATTTGACCATCCTCGAACAAAAATAACGAATGATATCCACCGGCTACTATACTTTTTATTGGATTATTAATAAAATTAATCTGAAATAAAACGAGTGATGGTGCTTTTCGTCCATTTTTATCACCAACACCTAATTGTCCGTTTTCATTACGGCCCCATGAATAAAGTTTATTCGAATTCGTAAGAGCAAGACAATGATGATATCCAGAAGTGATCAATTTAATATTTTCTAAACCAATGTCAACCATAGTTTCATATGATGATGCTAAATTTCCGGTTATCTGACCATATTCATTATCACCCATAGCAAAAATATGACCATCACGTCTTAGCAATAATAAATAATTGGTTCCACAGGCAATCATTTGAAAACGATCATCACCAGTAGTGATTAATCGAAGATTATTGTTTGTTTGCCAAATTGAATTTCCACTGGCCAGATAAATTTGACCATCACAAGTTAAAATGGCAACAAAATCAGTACCCGAATCAATTTGAATAATTTTTTTACCATTTAAAGCTGTAATTAGTTGTGGTCGTATCGGATCATGTACCAACGATAACCAATTACAAATGTCTTGGCCGAAAGCATATGTTGTTGAATCGTTAGTCAAACAAAGATAACCATGATCTTGATCACAAAAAATCGATATAATTTTTCGAATAAATTCACTATCGATAAGATCAAAATCATTTTGATATAATTCAATATCGACACAGGTATCGGGTGAATTTATCATTGTTTTTGTTTGTTTTCCTTCAAAAAGTTCGAAAAATACCAGTTCGAAATCTTTAACAAAAATTATTGTTGTAAATCATAATAAAATGTAGACAAACTCTCAAATAAAACTCATATAATTTTAAACTTTGTGTCAAAAGGTGGAGGTGTTAAAAAACCATATATATGTTGTCAGTATCAATTTTAGCCATTTTTTTTTGTCTACAAAAATAACTCAATTTTTCGACATTTAATATTGTAAAATTTTATTAAATTACATTTTAAAAACAAAATTATTTATAGTTCAAAAAAAATGGTTGATTGAATTGAAAGTAATCAGGATTTTGTTATCCAAAAAAGTGTTTGCTCTTGATAGAACCAATTCAAAAATTGATTTAAAGTATTTTCATCGGCCATCTGTAAATTATCACAAAATTTTGGCAAAGTTTTTTGTTCGACATACTGATAAAGATCATCATCTAATTCATCCAATTTATAATTGATTATCAATGGAATAAGTGAATGAATCGATTGTTGAGTAAGATTTTTACGAATAAATGTTTGACAATATTCCATTAATTGTTCATCATCATAGAAATGTGCTAAATCAATTAATTCGGTAATATTGTTCATATCGATTCGAATATAGCCATCATGTAACATTCGAATATAGGAATAAAAAATTTCATAGGAATAATATTCGATGGTTACACTATCTTTTTGTCTCCAATTACGAAAAAATGTACGAAAAAAATATCGAGATGCAGATTTTAGAAATGATTTACATGCCATTATACGTTTGTTGCCGATGATAAATTCAAAATCATAATTTTCCGGATTATTAAAGAGTTGGGTGATTGATCTGTTCAACATTGAACCTTTTGATTCGAATACATCAATTGTTGATGTTAAACCATATGTCATTGAGTATTTCGATATCATGGCGGATGCATCAGCAAATGATTTCAATTGACCATTTAATTTTTGAGGTTGTGACCAAAAGCTATTCTCATCTTTACCCCAAACATAATACTGTGATGAATCAATCAAAGCCAATGAAAAATTGAGATTTTTTGTACAAGCCACGTTTTGAACATTTTCAAGAGGTATTTTTATCGGTAGAGTATCATTTTGATTTTGAAAACACCCAAATCCGAAAATCTGACCATCCTTTAGTAAAAATAAAGAATGAAATGCACCGGCCACGATACTTTTGACCGGATTATTAATCAAATCACTCTTAAATGAAACGAGTGATGGTGTTCTTCTTTCATTTTCGTCACCTAGACCTAATTGTCCATTACGGTTAATGCCCCAGGAATAAAATTCATTTGAATTCGTTAAAGCAAGACAATGCCATAGTCCACAAGCTATTTTTTCGACATTCGTTAAACCAATGTTCACAAGAGTTTCATACGATGACTCAGAACTTCCGGTTATTTGACCATATTTATTATCACCTATGGCAAAAAGATGACCATCTTGGCGTAACATCAACAAATGTTTGTGCCCACATGTTATCATTTTATAACAATCATCACCAGTGGAGATTAATCGGAGAGTATTGTTCGTTTTCCAATCTGAATTTCCACTGGCCAGATAAACTTTCCCATCACAAGTTAAAATAGCAACAAACAAATTGCCCGAAACCACTTGAATAATTTTCTTTTTATTCAAATTGTTGATCCGTTTTGGTCGGGTCGGATCATGTTTTAATGATAACCATGAACATATGTATTTGCCAAAAGCATATGTTGCACCATTGGTCATACAAAGATAACCATAATAGCGATCACAAAAAATCGATACAATTTTTCGTATAAATTCACGATCGATAAGATGAAAATCATCTTGAAATAATTCAATATCAACACATGTATCAGGCGAATTTGCCATTGTTTTATTTTCAGTAAAAAATTCGGTTCTATCAACAGAAACAAAAAAAAAATAATAATTAAGCAAAATATTTATCAAACGTTGTAGACAATACAAAATGGAAATCATCATACTTAAGTGGAAATGGATTTTATGTCACTCCGAAAAACACATTGAAAATTCCGTCATAATTTACAA